CGAAATCGCTCTCTTCCGTAATGTTTTACGGAAAAGGCAGCAGTGTTTTGATCCCTGGGTTTGATTCATTTCTTTTTCGAGAGGCGAACTCGACCGTGCGTGTCACGATTAAAATTAGGCACAGTAACAGTTTTACCCATGAACCTTTGTGGGTCGTGACGCACACCGCCTGGGAGACCCTTGTTCATGATTGCATGTATCAGGTTGTATTAAATTCAGAAACAACAGAGCTGTACAGTATGACGATGTTATGGTACTTAATGCGTTTCTGTGTGACATGTAGTGTTTGGAATTGAAATGATTGAAACTACGTTTAACATCGCATAACAATAGCCGTCACTACAGCTACACAGACTCCTCTTTCTGCATGTAGTGGTTTGCCCAGGGGGGACTCCCGTATGAATATGGGGGGGAAGGTAGTCGGAGGATAAAAATAAATGTTAAGACTAAGAATTAAGATTAACTTAGATTTCTAGATCATCTTCTTGTTTTTGTTTTTTTTTTATCGCATGCGAATTGTAACGTAAGATGGAATACGTTCAAGATCGAGGTTGGGGAAATGATAACGATAAAATTCTTCAAATTTTCTGACTGTCGGGCATTAAGTCTATTGAGACTCTTACCGGCAGCAGGGAATACAGCCACAGCCAATTTAATACGATATTTCTTTATGTACAATCCTTTGGTAATTTTTTTTTACATTGCTCTTTCTCTGACGACGTTTCCCTTCAACCATGATAAAATATTAGGGAAATAAAAAGAGGGGTCAGCGGGCCTCTTTTTCGTATAAAATGCTTCGCCCACACGCGTTTTCGTTTTGGCAGGAGCCGATTACTGGATATATCTGGATCACACGAATTCAGTGGCACGCGCTCTCGCGATGGGCCACCCACGCGGGAAAACTCCCGCTTGCCACCTTACTTTGACTGTTATTTGAGATGACCCAGGTAATATTTTTAGCTAATATTTCAGTTATCTTTGCTTCCGTATTTCCTAGTGAGGCGCAGAACGCACGTCCATCAGTCTGAGATAAACGATGGCGGCCGCCCCAGACCCAGATGAAATACTTTGTTCTACCAGTGGAAAAACAAATTTCCAACGGATTACAAGACTGTTAATCAGTGGAGGAACAAGCCTACTGAGGGAGATTTTTGACTCCATATATCCTCCAAGTCATCTTCCTACGATTCTTGGCAATCCCGTAACAAAGAGCCAGCTTAAAGGTGCAAAACTCACCATGCCCCAGTGGCACTGTCTTTGTCCATCCCCAGGGATGTATGGCAAGTCGGCCGATTTTGATGTCACTTTGCTGTTTCGTTTGTTGAGGACAATACGTAACCTCGCCCCTCCAGCCACAGGATGGGATGCACTACCAGCCAGTACAGATTACAGTTTAACAGCTGATATAGCAAGAATAAAGTTTTACCGCAACTCTATCTATGGTCACGTGAACCAGGGCATGGCAATAACAGATGATGAGTTTCCAACACTTTGGCAGGAAATCAGTGAAGCTCTTGTGAGGATTGCTGGGCAGATAAGTCCTGCACGGAAAACTGCATGGCAAATTGCCATTGCTAAATACTTGACAGATCCTCTTACAGTTGAAGATGAAAGAAATCTGCAAGAACTAGAGGCATGGCATAAAAGTGACATGGATGTCAAGAAGTCGATTGTGGAAGTCAGTGAACGCATCAGTCATTTGAAGGTGAGATTTAGTATTTCTATCTAATTTATTTATTTATTCATTTTTTCACCATACCAAGTAAATTAGTCACCAGTTTCCTTACTTTACTGTTTTTTGATCACGCTGACACGGTTATAATATCTTAATTCTACGTTGAGACATAGCAGTACCGAAAGATTTCCATTCGGCGACCTTTCATCCTGTTCTAGGTACATATTGCCAATCAAACATTTTTCCAGACACGCTTTTGACCCACGGGCCCGTTTCTCGAAAGTCCCGATAATTTACGGGTCCGGTAAGCTGTTGCCATTTACATTAAATAGCTTGGCATCTAACATCATAGAACTTTCAGTTAATAAAACAAAATGCAGTAGTTTGTTAGCGAGGACCCGCGCTTTATTCTTCATATTTCGATTTGGATAGATATTTGATTTCGGGCCCAAAAAGTTACCGGGACTTTCGAGAAACCGCCCCCCGGGCCTTAACCCGCAGCCCCCACCCCTCCCCAGCCAGGCCCCATAACCCACACCAAAATATCACACATATATTTAAATATTACTTATTATACGGATTTCCTGTGAATAGTCTACGTTCGATATATTAAAATTCTATCATGCCTTCGAAGCTACGATTTCTGGTCATTTTACTATATTTGGTTTTGCTTTCTTTGTGCCAGCTCAAGCCTCTTTCATGGGAATTGCGAGATAATGACAATGGAGTGGTGAAAAAAATTGCACTTTTGACAGTAAAGCCTCAGAGTCAAGTTAGAATTTTAATATATCGTACGTGGACTATTATTAGTTAATGGGCCCTTAAAAGCAAGCATTCATATATTTTTTCATGACTGAAACTGTGAATGTTTGCAGACTGTAGTTCAAGAGGAGTCTAAAAATGTCAAAGAAGATCTGAGAAAAATTATCGAGTCAGTGGTTCGTGAAGAAACACAAGATATCAAGAAAGAAATTAAAGCTATGTCTCGTGGCGTATTTATGGCAGCAGCTCATCAGGAAGCAAAAGACATCAACAATCCACTGGGGGGAAAGAACCACTCGACGGACAGAGACAGTTCCTTAGCATCCCAAAGTCAGTTATCTGAGGGTAGGTTGTATATCCTCTACGTCATACAACTTATTAAATGCAGAAGGACCTTGATATAGGTGGATTCATCGTGACCTCATTGTTTACATTTTTGCTCATAAGCATACCTGTTAATCCATAGAAGATGTAGCCGCATATACCAATAGACCTTTCCCATATTACGCTCAGTTTTTGTAAATTCTGGGGTTTTTCAAAAAGAATTTCTCCGAAACTATGGGGTATATCGAGCTCAAAGTTTCAGAGATAACTGCTGAAATTGTTGTAAATGCTCTTTCAATATTCAGAAATTTCATTTTATTAGCGTCATCAGATATTGATAAGCCTATGCCAGTGAGGCAAAAAATGTAAGCAAGAATTCGCCTATACTGTCAAATCTTAGGCTACCGTCATTCACACGGTACCGGACAAATTTTCGACCGATAGAAAATTCGTGCGTTTTAGTGTGTCACGGAATTACCTTACCGTATGAAACTTTAGACGCCGAGCTATTCAAAGTTCATATTGAACAGTCCCGTGTGAACGAAGTGGCAGGTCAAATTCTGCACAGAATTAAAACTGGGTCGATTATATTTTGAGAAAACCCGATTATATCCTCTCACAATGGGTGGAATACACTCCACTCGTGACTCCCCTCCCCTCCCCCATACGTCCAAACGTTTAATAATACAAGCGAACCTTTCCTGAAAAGTAGCTCTAGAATATGAGAAACCTCTATTGCGGACATTTCTCGTCATCGTAAAGGAACATTCGAGGGTGAAAGTTCAGAGAAGTCATATTGATTTTCGTTTCTTCCAGAATATAGGAAACCAGAGGGAAACTCAGATCTCGGAGAGTATCCGAGGCATCAAATCAAGAACTCACAAAGACAAAACGAAATTAAATTGTCAGAATCAAATGAAAGGTTACCAAAGCCTACAATGGCTTATCAGAAGCCAGCTTCGGCAACATACACTGGAGGTAAGCAGCTTCTAGAAAGTGAAGACACAGACGTGACTTACACACGCGTTGACGAAAAATTTGGAAAGTCCTTGGAAGAGAAAGTTAGCCGTCAAAGAACACGTGATTCTCTCGTGAGCTCAACCCGATCGCGTGTGCGTCTTCCTCGCAGAGAGGTTATCTTTGTAAAACCCTTGTCTGGAAAAACAGTAACATTAGAAATTGAGCCCAGTGTTACAGAAACTGTTCACAGTGTCAAAGTGGAAATTGAAGGCAAGTTGGGAATTCCCTTAGACAAACGGACTCTCCTATTCAATGGCAAGAGACTGGAAGATGACCGAGCTTTGAGCGACTACAACATCCCGATGGAATCGGTACTGCACTTGGTTCCTGCTATGCAAATTTTCGTAAAAATGCTGACTGGAAAAATAATAAGTTTAGAAACTGAACCAAATGATACTATTGATAATATTAAAGAGAAAATTCAAGACAAGGAAGGAATTCCAGCAAAAAACCAACGTCTATTTTTGGTTCGCAAACAGTTAGAAGATCGATACACTCTGAGTTATTACAACATCCAAGAGCAATCAACACTGCACTTGGTTCTCAAACTTCCTAGGATTATGCCAATTTTCATAAAAACGCTGACTGGAAAAACAATAACTTTAGAAACGGAACCAAGTGATACTATTGAGGATGTAAAAGTGAAAATTCAAGACAAGGAAGGAATCCCACCAGATCAACAACGTCTCTTTCTTTTTGGCAGAGAGTTAGAAGATCGATACACGCTAAGTTATTACAACATCCAAAGGGAATCAACACTGCGCTTGGCTGTCAAACTTTCTGGGATTATGTCAATTTTCACCAAAACGCTGACTGGAAAAACAATAACTTTAAAAACTGAACCAAGTCATACTATTGAGGATGTAAAAGTGAAAATTCAAGACAACGAAGGAATCCCACCAGATCAACAACGTCTCTTTTTTTTTGGCAGAGAGTTAGAAGATCGATACACGCTAAGTTATTACAACATCCAAGAGGGTTCAACACTGCACTTGGTTCTTAAACTTCCTAGGATTATGCCAATTTTCATAAAAACGCTGACTGGAAAAACAATAACTTTAGAAACGGAACCAAGTGATACTATTTATAATGTTAAAGAGAAAATTCAAGACGAGGAAGGAATTCCACGAAAAAACCAACGTCTCATTTTTGCCGGCAAACAGTTAGAAGATCAACACACTTTAAGTTATTACAACATCCAAAATGAATCAACACTGCAATTGCGTTACATATTTCCTATGCCAATTTTCATAGAAACGCTGATTGGGATAACAATAACTTTAGAAACTGACCCAAGTGATACTGTTGAGGATGTAAAAATGAAAATTCTAGACAGGAAGGGAATTCCACCATATCAACAATGTCTCATTTTTGCTGGCCAAAAGTTAGAAGATCGTTACACTTTAAGTTATTACAACATCCAAGACGAATCAACACTGACCTTGCTTATCAGCGGACTCGATTCTTTTACCAGACCAATTTTCATAAAAACGACAACAGGAAAAACAATACTTTTAGAAACTGAACCAAGTGATACTATTGAGAATGTAAAAGTGAAAATTCAAAACAAGGAAGGAATTCCAACAGATCAACAACGTCTCATTTTTGCTGGCCAAAAGTTAGAAGATTGTTACACTTTACGTTATTACAACATCCAAGACGAATCAACACTGACCTTGCTTCTCAGCGGACTCGATTCTTTACCAGGCCAATTTTCATAAAAACGCTAACAGGAAAAACAATGCTTTTAGAAACTGAACCAAGTGATACTATTGAGAATGTAAAAGTGAAAATTCAAGACAAGAAAAGAATCCCACCAGATCAACAACGTCTCATTTTTGCTGGCCAAAAGTTAGAAGATCGTTACACTTTAAGTTATTACAACATCCAAGACGAATCAACACTGACCTTGCTTCTCAGCGAACTCGATTTTTTACCAGGCCAATTTTCATAAAAACGCTAACAGGAAAAACAATGCTTTTAGAAACTGAACCAAAAGATACTATTGAGAATGTAAAAGTGAAAATTCAAGACAAGGAAGATATCCCACCAGATCAACAACGTCTCATTTTTGTTGGCCAATAGTTAGAAGATCGTTACACTTTAAGTTATTACAACATCCAAAAGGAATCAACACTGCAGTTGGTTCTCAGAGTTCCTGCTATTAAGGACCATGCCAATGTTCGTAGAAACGCCGACTGGAAAAAAACAATAACTTTAGAAGTTATGCCAAGTGATGTTATTTCGGATGTGAAGAAGAACATCCACAACTAGGAGGGAATTCCACCAAAAAAGCAACGTCTCACTTTTACCCGCGCCGAGCAGTTAAGAGGATCGATACACTTTGCACGATTACAACATTCAAAAGGCATCAACAGTGCACTTGGTTCGACGTTGTTTTTTTTTTTGCAAATTTTTAAAAAAAAGGACGACGGGAAGAATGATACCTTTAGAAGTTGAACCAAGTGATTATATTTTGGATGTGAAGGAGAAAATTCAAGACAGGGAAGGAATTCCACCAGATTATCAACAACTCTTTTCAGCTACCGGAAATAAATTGGAAGATGGTCGCACTGTGAGTGACTATACAACATCCAGAAAAAAGAAACCCTGGACTTTGATCTGATATCTTCTCCTGTTATCATACCAATTTTCGTAAAGACGCTGACAAGAAAAATTATTTCTTTAGAAGCTCAATGATACTTTTAATTTGAGAATGTGGAGGCTAAAATTAATGCTATAGAGGAAACGCCACGATACGCACGTCTAATTTCTGTCGGCAAGGAATTAAACGATCACCGCACCTTGTCCGACTACCGCATGCAGAAGAAAGCCTCTTTTTGAGTGAGTACAACCTTGAGAACTATTCCCCGACTCTACACTTGGAGACCTTTTCGAGATTATCCAGCTATTTCTAGATAGGTTGTCGGAAAAAATGTGCACGCGACAATCCCGAAAGGTAATATGGGATATGATCAATACACTGTTCCTGACGACCGTAGCTGTCGAACCTACCCTTGTTGCTTTCCTCTAGCACTCGAAAGCACATTTCCATGGCCTTTTGTGCCAATTCTTTCAAATTTCTTTGAAGAACAGAGAACTCAAAACCACCCACAATGCCTTTCGGGATTGTTGCGTGCGCTTTTTCCGACAACCTTTCTCGAAATAGCTGTATACTTGCAAGCGCGGAGACAGACTCTGACATTAATGTTACCTTGGAATGTGAAATTGGACTGAAAGACAAGCCGATTATAACTGTGTTTTGGTCTAAAAGTGGCAATCAAAATGTAGACCGGCAGTTTTTAAAAAAAAAATACATTGTATGCATGAAATAGTTACACACACAAACTTCTTACATAAATATTATTATTATATAAACACCAATGAAATTCCAGGTGAGCTTTCGCGCGAAAACATGGTATCTTCACATGTGAGAATAACATCATGTTATCTTCACAAGCGAAATATCACCGTTGCTATGGCTGCATAATAAATCGCGCCTTTCACAGCAAAAAAACTATTAAAGTGAAATGGTTTGGTATTTCATTGGTGTTTATATAATAAAGAGAACATTACATGGCCTCTTGCAGATACGAAATTTTTCTTCTCGTGTTGAAAAAATATGTCACTCGTTGGCTGCGCTCACTCGTGAAATATTTTTCAACACTCGAAGAAAAATTTCGTGTCTTCGCGCGACCACGTAGTATCCATTATTTTGCAAGCGGCAATAGTTAACCCAAGATAGATCAGAAGTTACCCATAAAAATGATTTTTGAGCAAAACTGAAAAAAGAAAGCGAGAAATAGTATTTAAATAAATCATGAGAGTATTTAAAAGACAATTTTTGTTCTTTCAGAAAATGCTCAACATTGATCGAAATACTGAAATTAGGGAGCTTTGGCATCGACGACGGCGACGGCAGCGAAATCGCTTAAAATGTCAAATGCAGACGAATTACCCCGGAGTTGAATTCTTGGAGACCGCATGTAAGTTTAGAAAGAGAAAGAAAAAATTGTGGTCCTGTGTTTACGTCCTCCAGAACACCTCACAAAAGGAATTTCACGTTCTGATCGTGCGGTGACGACGTTCTCGTTGTCGTCGCCGTCCTCGTTGCTAGGCTCCCTATTAAACCCGGAAAGTAGCCTGCAGGCGTTATTTAAAGCACTACCCAGAGGTACATGGAGGAAAAAGGCAGGCAAGCCGGGGGAGGCGCGTCAACCTCTTCCTTGGAATCATTTTTTGACCCGCCCCAACCACTCTCGGTCAGTCTGAACGTCCAAGTCGATCTCACTGCAAAATACGCCAGCTTTGCAGCCTACTCGGAAGGGGACCAATCTAGAGGTAGTGTTCGAGCTATAAAATAACCCTCTTAAAGCAGGCAATCAATTTCTGGAACCACTCAGAAAAGCTGCTTAACAAATAGACGACCAGTTCTAGTTTTCTGAGTCAATGGACAACGGGGCGCGAACTAGACCAACTGAAAAACGTCCTTCGATTCACGAGTAAAAGTGTTATAAAATATACTAGAAATACGTGTATCCCAGAACCTCGCATACCTCGGGGTGGGGGAGGCCCATGAAATGTCAGGGGTGGAAAGGTAGGCAATTGGAGTAAATTGTGTTGCCTGGCAACTTTAAAAAAATGTTCATCCCGTATGTAAAAACTAAACTACTAAGTAAAGAACATTTATAAGAATATTTGCCTGTAAAAAAAGTATAAGATCAAGAGATGTTACCAGTATAGGACCACGAAATGAAAAAATCTATTTTAGCGAAAAGGGACCTTATAAGCAACGACGAAGACGACGGCAGCGAAAACGTCGCTAAAAAAATGAATTTGCGTTCCTTCAAACTTAATCGCGTCTATTTGGACCCGCTCAATATGTCAAATGCAGGCGCCTTTTCCTGGAAACGAATTCTTAAGGATTTTATTCAAGTTCAAAAAAAGGAAGGAAAATTTTGTCGTCGTACATCCACGTCCTCCAAAAAACGTCAAATTAGGAGGTTTCACGTCGTAGTCGTGCAGTGGACGTCAAAGAAATGTACTAAAAAGCGTGACGCAAGTGCAGAGCTGTTGTTTTGATCATTTAAACTATTGTTTTTTTTTAAGTTGTCGTCGTCGTCGCAGTTGCTGAAGCTTCCTAATACAAGAGGCCTGCCCGCAAAAGGTGTATAATCATAATAATTAGTATAATTTATCAATTTGCTATAGCCCGTTTATTACACATAAATAGCCATAAAGCAATACTGGAGGGAAGAATGGGATGATCTACGGAGACTGCCTGCTTTAAGAGGGTTATTTTATAGCTCGTTGTCGTCGCCGTCCTCGTTGCTAGGCTCCCTATTAAACCCGGAAAGTAGCCTGCCGTTTATTACACATAAATAGCCATAAAGCAATACTGGAGGGAAGAATGGGATGATCTACGGAGAAATCCAAAGAATTTCTCTCAAATATTTCAATCCTTAATGGACAGAAAGTAGAAAAAGGACAAAAGGAGGAGCGAAATATATTTATCTATTAATGGAAGATCAGCATCTTAAGTCTCTGAGTACTTATTAAACGACTACCCTTTGCACTTCGTTTTGGTGGAGAGCACCCCTCCCCCTCCTTTTTTACCTCGGTCAGCACTCGTTAACATTCGCCGAAAGGCCCTTTCTCCCCTTACGATTTTTACACAAGGTAGAACTGTTTTCTACTTTTATATCACACTTAGATGATATTTCAAGCTGGAAATCATTTATGAAAATGCAAGTCTCTTCAATCTAAAAGAAAAAAAAAATTGATATGAAAGGCAAGAGGATTGGAACCCTTGACCCAAATTGCCACCACACCACACTCACCATCCACTAACCACTAAACCTCTGAGGATTTGTTAGATAGTAGGGAAATAATAAAGTACACATAGCATCAACCCCAACCCAACAAAAGAACCTAACCAGTTTCGAAACAGTGCTTAACCCTAATCAGTAAAGGCACTGCTTAACCCTACTGTCAGCAAAGGCAGTGCTTAATCCTTATCTGTAAAACGCAGTGCTTAACCCTAATCCAAAACGATAAGGAATACCACGTTGTGTAAAATTCATAAGGTTACCAAGGGCCTTTCGACAGATGTTAAAAAGTGCTGACCTTTTACCTCAAGGTCACGCACGAACTGCCGCCGCGCAATGAGCCAACCGAAAAAGCATCGCCTTGTACTGGCAACACGAACACACGGTGGCAGGAGCTCCTGGCTTTGGCCAGTCTTACTCAGTTTTTAAGGGTATTCCTCAATTTATTTCTTGACGACTATTAAAATAACCCTCTAGTAAACGGCAAGTTATGATGAGTACATTGCCATAGAGCTACTGTTGTTGATAAAAGTATCCGCAAATCTCTTTGTTTTAGTTTTGTGTAGGTCGAAGATCTTCTTTCTCCTTAAACTATAAGTTGGCCCCTTACACTTATTAGGTAAGTAACCGTAAATCTTATTGAATGGATTGTTAACAACTAGTTGGAAAAGCTGCTTGGTTATTTGTTCTTGATGGCCTGAAATGCCGTCGATAACGGCGAGACTTAAAGCGTCCTTGTAAGAAACTACTGGGAGATACACGAGAGGGCTCTATTTTGTACTCTCTCAAGTTCGGCTTGCAAGTACTTTGGTAACGCATAGTGGAAAACTGGGTATGCATAATCTAACGAAGATCTAATACACGCGCAGTAGTAAGCTACGAGATCGCCAGAAGGAACCTGCGCACGTTTCAGTTGAACAAAAAAGTAGTGTTTTCGAGATGCTTTCTTTACGAGTTCCTCAATGTCGTCATTCCAAGTAAAGCTAACATTGATCACAGCTCTAAGTGGCTTTGCGCACTGAACCGACTCGATAGAATTTCCGTCAATACATGCTCTTGGGAACAGACGCATTGACGACTGAAACTGATGTGGAGTTCCGCAGTTAATTAGTTGGGGTCAATCCGTCTTATTTTGCTTGATTTCTTCCTTTTAGTTACATCACAGCTAATAACTGTTTTATGTTTTTGTTTTTTTACGAAAACAAGAAGTGTTTCAAGCAAAATTGATCAGCTTGTTTTTAGTGAGACAGCCTCTAAATAGCCCTTGTACAGACGCCCCCCCCCCCCCCTCCAAAAAGGGGTAGGGGCGTCGTTAAAAGCTCATCCGTTGCACGGGGTGATAGGGGTATAATTGATTACGTTAGCCTTGACTGCAAAACAGTTTTTTTTCTCAAAATCAGTTTAGTGTAGCGCAAGAGTAGCGTAAGAGTCTCAGAAACACTTGTGTGGTTAACCCTGTTTTTTTTTTTTTTTTTTTTTTTTTTTTTACAACACATGTAAAAACTGTTTTTTTTTTTTTTTTTTTTTCAAAAAAAAAAAATGTTTCAAAAAAAATTGATCAGCTTTTTTTTAGGGAGACACCCCCTAAATAGCCCTTGTACAAACGCCCCCCCCCCCCCTCCAAAAAGGGGTAGGGGCGTCGTTAAAAGCTCATACGTTGCACGTGGTGATAGGGGTATAATTGATTACGTTAGCCTTGACTGCAAAACAGTTTTTTTTCTCAAAATCAGTTTAGTGTAGCGCAAGAGTAGCGTAAGAGTCTCAGAAACACTTGTGAAGGCAAAACCACAACGACAAACGAGTGAGGGTCCGCCGTATCTTTACTATACCTGGATCAGCAAAATCTTGAGTACCAAACTTTAAAGCTAAAACAGTAAACTGCCATAAGAGTCTCACGCGCGCGAACCTCACACGCCCTACGAGGGTAAGAGGCGCGACAGCCTGGCTCCAGACCTTTTGCTTGTCTGTTCGCGCGTGACTGCTTGAATACCGTAAATGATCGATTAAGCGTCGCACTCGAATAAGCACCGCACCTTTACCGAAAATTCTTTAATAAGCGCCGCTCATGAATCAGAGCCGCGGCGCTAATTTGGGTATTTACAAATTAATGCCCCACCATTGTTACAGCGCTTGATACAAAGAGATATCAAAACCATATTGCTTGAGAAATAAGACCTCGACCAACTCGTGAGTTCTAAAGTTTTAATGTAGGGAAACTCTTGAAACTGGGTTCATATAACAGTTCGAGGTGTACATATTTTATATTAATTGTGCATACCAAGTACGCTCCTCTCTCCTTTCTCTCTATATTCCCCTCAGTGCTTTACCCGTAGTTGACAAGCGCCGCTACGGTACAATTTATTTTTGTACCTTTTCAAGATAAAATCTGGAAATTTGCCTTGATTTATGTGGGGTGACATTGGGAATTTAAGAGGTTAAGGGATTAAAAAGAAGATGTGCGAAATCAATACCACAGGTCAAACATGAGGGTTAAAAACAAAATGTCAGCAACGCAGTGAAAATTATCGCCGCAGTAGACACGCAAATTCAATTTTCTGTGGTTTCTTGGTGAGGAAGCTTCATTCACCGAAGGATCCATCAAACGTAGTTTTGTACCGTTTCATTGCCACGTTTCGGTCATGCCGATAAGCTCTGGTAAGGTAATTTGCGTGTCACTGGCGCATATTATTTTTGGAACCCTGATGACCGTCTGTGGCATTCTCCAAGTTATTCTTCAGCTGAAATTCTTGTGGTTGGACTCTTTCTACACTGGTATCTGGGTCGGAATATGGGTAAGTAATATTGACCAATATTATAGTACTGTATCTAGATGCAGAAACTGTAAGATCCCGTCTTTACAAACTCATCAATAAATTCGTGATTAGAAAACAAAGCCAACCCACACATAAGGGAAGAATGTTCTCTCTATGTTACAAAATTTTGCCAAGAACTGGCCGCCTGATTTAGCGAAAAATAACACAGCGAAAAAAAAATTAAGAACGGAACGAATCCAAAAAACTGGAGGATATTACAATGAATTTTAAAACTTTTTTGCCCCTGCAACGGCTTTTGAGTCATCTCTGTTTCTTGCAACTTTACAAGCATAACAAATCTGTCTGTCGTGAAAATGTGACTTTGTCTATTTATTTTTAGGTTATTTTTTCCCCACCCAGGCGTTTTCAGTTGCTAGTAATAACCACATAACTATCCAATTTAAACTTTAAACTTCTACATAAGATGGTAGCACAGTATTTTCTATGTGATTGAGGGATCCAGAAACCTCCAAGTCGAACCTAAATATAATAAAACTTGGCTTTTGGCCCATTTTCGGCGTTTGGATATCGGATGAAAAAGTGTCTCACAAATTAAAGCACCCTTTTGCATAGCGTGTTATAACATCAGAAATCGTCAAAAAATCGAGGTGGGGTTTGGGTGGTAGACTTTAACTATAGTAGCAGTACGATCTCTTTCTTTTAAAAACGAATAAGTGCTACACAATAGAGAAGAAAAAGTAACATGATATGCGGAAGTACGGCAGACATGTCCATGTTTAAATTGTTTATAAAACGTCACATTTGGAGTTGACCATTGCGTTTGAAATCGAAAGAACAAAGCACATCCAGCTTCAATGCTGCACAACTTGTTCCGTGCATATTGCGAATGATTTACAATTACTGTCGCCAGTTTCATGTAACTTATGGCAAAAGTCTCAACAAACCGTGGTCCTGCAAATATAGATGGCAGAAATAACGAAAAGACTTACATGCTTTTATGACTTTTCTGTGCATGATTGCACTCAAGAAAAAAAAAACCAATCTCCTTATCTTCCATCGTTTGACAATTCAAATGACTGTCTCGGTCCAGAAAGATTATTGAGATCCATAAATGTTGCTACCATGGTAACGTGACGTCACATGCATTTAGTTGCGCACTGACGAAATGTGGGGTGAATTGATTGTTGCCTTTATCATGACATTTATCAATCCATGACGAATGTAAAGTGTGTGGTTGACGGTTTCGGCTTCCCTTTTTCAAGCTTTATCATGACATTTTTGTTGTGCAAATGCTGTCAATTCAGCTGGTGTGTTGAACAAATAAGTTTTGGAGAGTTTTCTTCGTTATTTTGGTTTGTGGATCTTTGTGATCAATATGGATGTAATTATCTTAAATAAGAGACTTTGACTTCATAATCGCTAAGAGACAATCGGATAGAGGAAACAATGGATTATTCAGAGATTGAAATATTTCTTCTCGGGTTGCGACATTGATATCCTTACGTTGTCTATTGTTGCTGATTTTTTTTGCAGATGAGCTTCACAGGAATTCTAGGTGTCATTGCCAGTTTCAAAATTAAATTCTTTGTAAGTATCAAATAGGCTAGAGAAACTTAACAACCCCAAAATAGCATTAACTAAGATACTTTGGAAAGATATTCATGATCAACTGGCAAAGTCAATGTTGTACAATATGTAGTGATAGTTCACCCAATGTAAAGGAATCCAAGAGATAGTCTTGGATTCTGGACTTAACGTCGTGGATTCCAATCGTAAGTGGGATTCCGGATTCCTTGAGCTGTATTCCGAATTCCAAAGCCCAAGATTCCGGATTCCTCGGACTCCGGATTCCGGAGTCCATCGCATGAGGCCAGATAGTAAACTTTGACCTTTTCTTATTACGGCTTAGTTCAGTGGGCTTAGTTTGTCGTTTGTCTCACCCTGGTAACTTTGAAATAATTATTAGTGGTGCCTGTCTGTCAGTAATTGCGCAACCATTACGTAATTTCTGTGGTCTATACCTTTATAGACCATAGCTCTCGACCAATCAGCGCGCAAAAAATCGTTCATTTTCTGTAAAAATGTTAGTGAACTACTATCCTGCTTATTCACGTTAGAAGTTGTTCCCGCCTCAGCGGTCCGATATGGTACCGATGGGCTCAGTTTTGTTGCATTTATGATTTAAAGCTGCTATCTTGATGATCTTTTCCACCACCTCCGGTTTTCCATAACCACTGCCCAATTTCTATGGTCTATTACATTACAGAATATCGCTCTCCACCAATCAGCGCGCAAAGATTGCCCAGTTATTGTAAAATTATTGACTTTTTATGTGGGGAAATGTTTCCAGCTCAGAGCTCCGCTATGAAACCAATGTGCTATCTTATTTACTTTCAGGTTGCTCTCTTTACGTTTTTTTCCATCATCTCCAGTTTGCTGGGTTTAGCAAGCGTTAGCTACTACGCCAACACTGGTGCAGCTTCTTGGGATGTTTATTGGAGTTCCCTTTATTACCTCATCATCTCTTCAGCTACATGTCTCTTCGCCATAGTTCAGGTTATCATAGGAGTCGTTGCAGGCATTTATAGTTGTCTGACCTGTGGTGGCGACACTCAGTCAGAACAGGTAGGACCTGACGGGGTGATGTCATGGCTAGCATTGCGAGTTCTAATTTTTTTTTTTTTTTTATCAAAGCCGAGTTGAAATTCTAACTAACCTGAGAGGGCGCTTCGTGTTCCGCACTTTTGTCGCGAACACAGGCGAGCGGGAAACGTGAGTGACTGGTGAAGAAGCGCAAGGGACCAAGGGAAGAAGCGAGAAAGAAGTTAAGAGGGGAAAGAGTCTCTCCCGTTTTCTCCTTCCCGCCTTCCTTTGCGCGCAAATTAACATCGATAGAAAGACGTCTGGGAACGATCCAGCTAAGTAAACTTTTCTAAACTTAAAAGTCTGAGGTAAAGATATCAAACGACTCTTTCATAAGGGAAAACAAAGCAATGATTGGCTTCTGGTCATTTTTCGACAACACAGGTGTTTGACTTGGAATAGTTTGCCCAATTTTTGTAGGTGTCCCAAACCAGTCATGCAGGAGTGGAACTCTTTTCTTATGTAAACGCTTTCCTTTGTTCCAATAAATTTGCATTATAGGTGCTAGACAAGTGAAAGAAAACGCTCTATAGAATATAACCACTAGACAGAGTAACAAATAGTAACAATAATTAATTTAAAATAACTTAATTAATTGTTGCCTAACTATTGAATCTTACACTTATTTTGCATTTCACGAATGCAGGCATCGGTGGTTTCCTCAAACAAGGTTGTGCCGATAAATAATGCAGGGCCAGTTAGTGATGATGGCAGAATGTCAGCACAGGACGACCAGCTACCGATGGTTCAGGTGTAAAATGCTCAAGAATGAAACGCACAGAAGTAGAGGCTGTGCTTTTCAGAGCACAAGAGCCACGAAGTCTTTCGATTCACAGTTTCCTTGTTTTTAGGATTTTACACGAGCCGCTTAAATGCGCGCCTCTGCTACCGCGTGAATTTTGGTACGATATTTGTTTTAGCTAGTCAATGAATTAGGACAGGCTCAATCTGTATTTAAACACAGTACTTGGTTAGGCCAGTTTGTGTGAATTCGTCTGCTATTTCTAGGTTTTCTAGGTCATTAGAAATTTTCTTTTCCTTGCTCACATTTTTCTGTGTATCGTATGGATGTTAACAAGGGTTTTACCTGACATGATTCAAGTAAAACGTAAAAAAGGGGGAAACCAAGATTTGACCGAAGACAGCAATGTCAATGTTACATTGAAGCATGCGAATAGAAAGAGTTGCTAGAGGTCACGCATAGCTACAACGGACATTAAAACAACATTCTTTGGGTTTTTTCATTCAATTTGCTGCAATGAAGCAGAAAATGCTTTCTGTTTTAGCTGCCGGTCTTTTAATACTTAGCAGTTTAGACCTGAATCACGTGCCTAACTGAGCATAGTTTCTCCTTACTTTGGGACAAAAGTTAAGCTAGATTTCGAGTTTCCTGAATAAGTCATGGAAAAACATCAAGAACTTTTTTAATTATCGACTTTTAACAAGTCACTTACGAGGGATTTACACGTTACAGAAAGTTATTTTTCATTGCGTTTTACTCCTTTTTTCACCTTTTTATGATTAAGATACTACAGTTACGTAAATAAAAATATACAAGGATGCACGAGTGTTAATAAATTTGTACATGTAAAGTATAGTAAGTATTAGCGCAGTATTAAAATGACCACCATGGAATCATAATACTACGGTTGCTGTTGTTGCATTAATTATCTAAGATATATAAATCGCCGCTGGTCTACCACTCAGTTTATTTTCTTGCCTACCCCCTTTTTCAGCGGCATATAATGAATGCAGGGTCGAATCATGAAGCCATTACTCCTACATTTCATATAGCTCACTTTTATAACCAACTTGTTGATGTTTTGAGTAGGATGAATTTCGGCGTACTGTTAGTATTTCGGAAATCCAGGATAGTGGGTATAAGACGCAATTATGAAACCTTTTTTTTTAAGTAAATAACCAAAGCTTTAATAGACTTTCCTTTTTTTATGCGCTGCGAGCTTTATGAGCGGTTTATTAAAATGATCAGATTCAATGGTCAGCTGCGTTCCAAACCAAATTCATTTGAGCCAACCCTGCTATTTGAACACCGTCTGCTAAGAACGATGTCAAATAGAAATAAAATTATACAGAACATGTTGTGAACTACAAAATCTATTATCTGCTTTGAATAGTCCACTTTCAAACAAACAGATCAATACATACAGTTTATACTGAAATTTGAATGTGAAGAGACTATGATCGATCAGCATTTTACGACTTCTTTTAAATCTGCCTTTAAAAAATAAACGCAGCTTGTATGTAAAAGTAATGGAGAGGAAATTTCTCTATGATAAATACACGCATGTTGCGTGTAATTTAAGCTTTGTCTAATTTTACACGCTTGTTTTTCACGTGCATTTTGTAAATCCGCCATATTGCACACAATTTAAACGCTTGCAATGCTGCAATTCCCGTGGGCTGTATTGTAGATGCAGGTCAGTCGGGGTGACCGCCCCCCCCCCCCCCCCCCC